TTTTTTTTTTTTTTTTTTACTTCCGTCTTCTTATGAGTACGGTTGAAGTATTTTGCCTCTTCAGACTTCCCTCTTCTTATGGAATATTCACAGATAGAGGTGGTCATGTCCAGTTGGCTTAATAAATTGGTAGCCCTTATTTCTGTTGCATATAATCTCTTAGCAAGAAGGCACTATGTACTATTATCTGGAAGTAGTTCAGAAGACTTGGAATTTGTTACTCCTGTGGAATGGAGAGAAAACGGATATGAGCTCATTTTTCAAGATGACATTTATTACTTTTGTTCTGGTGTAGAGCTTTATCATATGTTTATTTCTTGCTATTCCAATAGGCAGTAAAGATGCGCTATTTTTCAAAAAAAGAAATTCCAAGCTATTATGGTAGTTGGTACTTCACATTCGACACATCGATATTGCTGCTGTTCTTTTTGCTCCCAGGGTGAAAGTTCTTTGCTTTGCCTTTTCCAGGGTGCTGATACGACATCTGCCTGCAATTACTGTGATGTGAGTCTTACTGGCTGTAAATTATAATATTCCCCCCCCCCTAAAAATTTCTTGACCTGTTATCTGTCTGATAAGCAGGGAATTTTAAGAGGTTATCCACCAATGAAATTTAAAGTATCTCCTAAAGACATGTTTGGAAGGACTGCCATTATTGCAGAAGTGAGCGAAAAGAAGCTTCAGCAAACTTCTGGAGGAAGTTTGGCTTCTGACTATTGGAATTTTATCCCAGATGATGCACAACAAGATGCAAGTTTAAATTCTTCAAAGTACAAAAAAGTTTTAACACATGCTCAGGTAACAAAATTTCTTAAGATTAATTTTTTTGGGGAGGTAAAACTTCTAGTTGCTGTTTTTCGTTTCATGATATATTTTATCTTTCCTACTGATTAGACACAACTTGAAGATTGAATAGCCCTTTGACCGATAAATAAGAAATTACATGTGCTGAAGCCCTTTTTAGTTAGCGTATATCTTTTGCCAGGAAGATGCTGCTGTATTTCAGTTAATATATCCGTTAGAATGATGGCACAATATTGATAGTTTTCTAGATCTTTCCCTCTGCATTTGTAGTAAAATCAGAAGCTTTTTGTTGTTTCTCGCTTGCGATGATCGCCCTGTAATGGAGGGTTAGATGAGGAATGTAGATCCAACTTCTGAGTTTAGCTGAATATTTAGCAATATGTATGTTTTTGAACTTTGAAAAAGCAGCGCATTCATTTGGTCTTCAACCTTTTTATTTTTAATTGTCAGAACACCTAACTAGACACCTGTACTTGCACCAGATTTTAAAGCTGGCCCCCAGCTCTCGGTTTTCCCATTTGAACACCTCTACTTGACGGAGTGTCCGTAAAAAAAATATGAATCGTTCCATTTGAGGTTGATGTATGGAGATGAAAATCCAGAATTAGATTTGGCTGATTCAGTTTAATATCTGAAATTTTTATAAATGGTGAGTTTGGTTGAAGAAGGCGCTTGCAGCTAATGGAGTACATACTATAAATTTCTTTGGATTGTAGTGAAGCTACCGTAGTGCTTGGATGGAGTTGAGCTTTGTAGTTTGAAGAGCTTAAATGGAGAGAAAAAATGATGAAGAGATTGATGGGACCATTCCCTACTGGTGATGATTTTTTGGTAATGATTCTGGGATTTTGGATGATTGTAAAAAAAAAATAAGCAACTGATTTTGGTGATGATTTGGGTTGTTTTTCGGTGGGCTTTAAGCAAAGAAGGGGTATGCATCTGATTGAAAAATTCTGTCAAGAAAAAATGATTAAAAAGAAAGAAGTGGGACCTGCAATTTTACCAAGTGTCAAAACTCAAGAAAAAGTGAATGAGTGGAAGTAGAAAAAGTTATATATCGCCCAAATCTGAAGCAGTTGAACAACACACACTGTCAGAGTGTTTGTTAATAGCCATTTTGTCAAGCACAGGTGGTTAAATGGAAAAAAAGATGAGAGTTGTTGGGGGTGGGGTTNCGAATTTGGGCAGCACATGATATTTGTAAGTGATTAGAAATGTGTCTTTTCTTGATTGTATCATTGATTTACAGTTTTTGGCACTCAGCTTTCTTATATCCTGGTCATATGCTGCTTTTAATATCCCAGGATGAGAGTAATAGGCTTTACAGAAAGCTGATTGACTTCAGAGGGACAGCAAATGACTTGAGCATGTGTGTTTTTAATAGAATTAAAGTTTCCAAGGCAAGAAATGCAACCATGTTTTGTTTTCCCTTTCTTTTTCAGTTTTCCGTAAAACAATGTTACATTTGATTTGAGCCTTTGTTACTGCAGATACGTGCAGAGAGGTCACTAACCAACGATCCTAATGCCCCTGCTACTGGTTTGAAGTATGTGAAAGAACTGGTTCTGGCAAAACGCACTAACCATGCTTTCCGCATGGTTGTGGTTGGTGATCCCAACATAAAGCTAGGTGAGATTGGTATTCCGTGTCATGTTGCAGAGGATCTCCATATGGCGGAACCCCTAAGTTCACGGAATTGGGAAAAGTTGACTGATCACTGTGATCTTATGATTCTTCAGAAGGGAGCGATTCACGTTCGTAGAAATGGTGTCTTAGTTCGTATTAGTGTAATGGATCAGTTGCAGAGAGGGGATATAATATATAGACCTCTAATTGATGGAGATGTTGTGTTGATAAATCGACCTCCATCTATTCATCAACACTCACTAATTGCTCTGTCTGTTAGGATTCTTCCAATAATTTCTGTTCTTTCAATCAATCCTCTTGTGTGTTCTCCATTCCGTGGGGATTTTGATGGTGATTGCCTTCATGGTTATGTTCCGCAATCAATCGATTCTAGGGTTGAGCTTAGTGAGCTTGTTGGTCTGAATCGGCAGCTTATTGATGGACAGAGTGGTCAAAATCTTCTTTCGTTAAGTCATGACAGCTTAACTGCTGCTCATTTAATTTTGGAAGAAGGAGTTTTCTTGGACCGCTTTCAGATGCAGCAGCTACAAATGTTTTGTCCTCATCAAGTGGGGATGCCTGCTATTGTACGAGCACCATCAAGAAACAGGAGTTATTGGACTGGGAAACAGTTATTCGGCTTGTTTTTGCCATCAGACCTTGACTGTGATTTTCCATCAAATGGCGTCTGTATTAGTGATGGGGAGATTGTGACATCTTCTGGTGGGTCGTCTTGGCTGCGTGATGCCAGTGAAGATCTCTTTTATAGTCTTGTTAAACACCATGGAGGTGACACTCTTGACCTCCTTTATGCTGCACAAGCAGTTCTTTGTGAGTGGTTGTCAATGAGGGGTCTTAGTGTTTCATTGTCCGATCTTTACATCTCTTCTGATCCATATTCCCGAGAAAATATGATTGATGAAGTCTTTTGTGGTTTGCAAGAGGCAGAGCGACTATCTTATGTCCAACTGCTGATGACGAGGTATAATCACGATTTCCTTGCTGGAAGCCTAGAAGTAAGCCAGAAAGCCATGGGTTTTGATTTGGAGTTTATGTCTATCATGCTGCAGAAGTCAGCTTCTCTGAGTCAAGCTTCTGTTACTGCTTTCAAGCAAGTTTTCCGGGATATCCAGAATTTAGTATATAATTATGCAAGCAAGGAGAATTCGTTTCTGGCTATGTTAAAAGCTGGGAGTAAGGGCAACCTGCTAAAACTGGTCCAACACAGCATGTGTCTTGGTTTGCAGCAGTCTTTGGTTCCGTTATCATTTAGAATGCCGCGTCAACTTTCTTGTGATGCATGGAATAATCATAAAGCACATCTTCCTTTTGAGAAAGCTCATAATGTTCCTGAACGTCCTGGTTCTTACATCCCGTGTGCTGTGGTTGAGAATTCATTTCTTGCGGGTTTGAATCCTCTAGAGTGTTTTGTGCATTCATTGACAACCCGTGATAGTTCTTTTAGTGGACATGCTGATGTTTCTGGAACATTGAACCGTAAGCTTATGTTTTTCATGCGTGATCTGTACATTGGATATGATGGAACAGTGAGAAATGCTTATGGGAATCAAATTGTGCAGTTCTCTTACTACAACACAGACCAAATTGCTTCTACATATAACCGTGCTTCTCATGCAATTGGTGGCCATCCTGTTGGTTCATTGGCAGCCTGTGCCATTTCTGAAGCTGCATACAGTGCTTTGGATCTACCTATCGGTGCACTTGAGCCATCACCTTTACTCAACCTAAAGGTTCTCTCTCTATTTCTGCTGATTTGTACTTTTGGGACGGTATACTATGTTATGTGGGCTAAACCAATGTTCTTAACGATGTTTTCCTGGAATCTACAATTTACTAATTTCTATGCCAATTACCCTTCTAGAAAGATGTATCTTAGTAGCCATATCTTTTGGTGTCACCTGCTGGACGTTCCCGAAGTTTTTAAAATTCATTTATAGCAATTGCACCAATTTCCAGAAAAAGTTTCTGTTAGGATCTAAAAGTCTTTTTAAAGAAAGGACTTCAAAAGCTGGCCCAAATACTAACTTATTCAATTGACAAATTGAATTGTCAACTTCGCAAGTTCAACCTATCAAAGAAGTCCATGTGCAGAAATAATTTCAATCACTTGATGCTCTATTCTTAAATATTTGCCTTCGTTGATGATGATGCTGAGCTTCTTGCTATCTCTGTTCTTTTTTATAATGTTGTAATATGACTTGTAGGGTAATTTTCAGTGACAACTTCTGCAACCTCATTTTTTCTGTGTTTGACCTTTGATAGTGGGCATACATTTTAGTCTCTATTTTAGAAATTTTTTGCTTAGTGGCAAATAAATTTGCCAAGTGTCTTTGGAGTGAACTTGGTGTTACTCTTAGAATAAGAATAGTGAAGTTATTTCTGCATTGTAAGTTTGATAGGAAAGTTAGGTCGAAAGATCTTCCACTCGCTTTTAGGATTGACAACTAAACTGATGTGGATACAACAGTGAATTAGTGGACCGTTTTGGCGGGCAAAAGTGGAAGTTCATGCTCAATATTATTATTATTATTATTATCACTAGAGAGGTTCTTCTCTGTGAATTGTGAATATTAGTGGGAAAAGGATAGTGACCCGAGATTAACAAGCAGCAGCTGTAGCTAGATATTGAAAACAGGTTCTAAGAGGAAGAGAAGCAGAAAATTGGAGGAGCAGAAGAATGCAGAGAAGCAACACGGGGGGCTGTAGACAGGAGATAGAAGGACCCACCCTTTATAATCATCGAACACAACACTGAATAAAAGCATATCTATCACTAACATGTTTAACGACATTATTGAAAGTCATACAAAAAAATAAACGAAACCGGGAACATGTAGGTGGAAAGATAAATGATGGGTAGAAGGTCTAGAACTGCTTTGCGGCTTTGTAACTTGGAGCTTGTGGAGCCTGAGTGAACTGGACATTGTAACCAAGGCTAATACGTCTTCATCCTCAAGTAACTAAAGACAATGAACTAGATACATCTTAGAAAACAGCAAAAGAAATATTAGTTACTAATGTTATTGGCCTGTTAAGATGCTCTTGAACCTCTCTGTTGTACTCCTATAGTACGTCAGTGGTACTATTTATTAATTAAAAAAAGCGCTCTTCAAAATAGAATCTGAAATTTAGCAGCATCTTCCATGGTTACAGAAAGTATTTGTTGACCTAAAAACACTGATAAAATTAAAACTAATAGAAGCTTTCTATTGAAATGATCAAAAGAGGAAAAAAATAGAAGCTTCCTAGTGTCTTCAAAAGCTGCCATATACACTTTTTTTCTTTCTTAATTGGGGTTCATGATATTGATTTTTGGTGTCCCATGTAATTGTAAAGCACAAGCTATTGCAATGGTAAAACATCTTGCATGCCTTTCTTGCTGACTTCTTAGCCACTTCTTGCAAGATTATATGAATTGTAATAATGTGATGTTGAGCTGGTTTCTGCTTGTCCCTTTTTGCCCTTTATGGTTTTTTTGTTGCTGAAAGCCTTGTAAAACTTTTCGGTATTCGGATGTGACTTTAACAGAAAATACTGGAAGCTGGAGTAAAGAGTAATAGTAGCGAGAAAACTGCATCTCTGTTTCTTTCGAAAAGACTTGGCAGATGGGCTCATGGTTTTGAATATGGAGCTTTAGAGGTCAAGGGTCATCTAGAAAGGCTTCTTCTTTCAGATATTGTTTCGACCGTAATGATATGGTACACGCTCTTCCTACATTTTCAAACTTTTGCAATCCAGTTTTGTTGATATCCTTTCATTGATTCTTATCTGACTAAAGATTTCTATAATGTAGCTTCTCCCCTGGAACATATAAAAGCACTCACAGTAGTCCCTGGGTTTGTCATTTTCATATAGATAAGGTAATGCACTAAGAAATTCATTTCTTATCCTTTTGTAGTTTTTTGGTTTTGTGCTCTTAAATTCTGCTCTCTCAGGAATATGTGAAGACAAGAAGGCTGAAGCTGAAATCAGTAATAGATGCTCTTAACATGAGATATCGATCAACTAGAATGGAAGCTGGAATAGATCTTCCAAGCCTGCATATAACATGCAAGTAAGATGCTTTGCTTTGGGTTTCATCTTTTAATTGTTAATCTTTTAATTGTTTATCTTTTAATTGTTATTGGATGCATGGAAATGGGGATATGAAATAAATTCACTCTGAATCCTCCACTACCTTATTGTACAGTCTCTTGGTCACTGTTTAGGCATTCGTATTCTCTTATTTCTTGTAAATGTTGTAGGGATTGTTCCGTCGCTGAAATGCAAAAAGCGAATTCCAAAATTTGCATTGCAGTTGCTGTGGTTGAGACCTCAAAAGATTCTTTTTCACTACTGGATACACTTCGTGATTTGGTGATTCCATTCCTTCTTGAGACTGTGATCAAAGGTTTAGATCTGTTTTCTGCTTTCCATATTATTGCCTAGCAAGCTGATGTCCTTGAGCTATGTACTTGTTAATTTGTTACTATCCTTTTTTGTGAAAAGGAGTTTTGACTTCTGCTGTTATTGACAAAGAACATGGAATCTGTTCCTGGCTGGCTATGTTCCTGGTCATTTTTTAGTAAAAAGGGATTTCCTTGTCTTTCAGTATACATTTCAAGTTTATGACTTTTGAATCCATTCCCATTCAACTACGGGACCTGATCTGAAAATCTTTTAGTGATTGTTAACTAAATTTTGGTTTAGATGTTTATGTTGTTTGGAAACTATTATCTCTAGGGTCTCAAATCATTTTACAAACATGTTGGCCACTTTAATGTGGGTTTAGAAACCATGAAATGTACATGCTATTTAGCTATGCTTTTGTCCTTATGACTTAGTCTGATGTTGAATGATATTGCTATAAAGGTGTAGTCAAGTGATGAAAGAGAATAACATTTTTCTTGCATGGGTTTTTATGGAAGGAAAAAGGGAGTTGCTTGATACGGGCAATATCAGGGTTGAGTTAAAGGTTAAACAAGAGATTAATTCACAGCTTTTGCAAAGCTAAAGTTACAGGAAAGTTTTGACATCTTGGACATTGAGTTGTTTAAAGTCATTTCTGTCATTTAATCCTGATCTTCATAAAGAAGAGTGTAATTCGCATGTGAATTGTCACGCGTCTGTGGCCTCTTTAGATTATTGAAGTAGTTGGATCCCTTCAGCCAATGATTGCGAAAAAGATTAATGAATGGTATCGATCACAAATGAGAGGACATTTGAAAGTGACTTCAACTTTGGACATTTGTTCTATCTCTAAAAAGTTGTGGCCCAATTTCTTCTTGTGGATACCTTTTGTTGTTCTGGTGAGCTGCTATTTTAAAGTATTTGATTTTGTCTTTTATCTTTGATGTTTCCTTCTTTTAGGTTTCTCCGCATTTAAAAAAGTTGATATCTTATGGAGAGAGTTGCCAAGTACATCAAAATCTTCCAGAGGCTCTACCGGGGAACTATATTTGCAGGTCTTTATGTCAGAAAGTTGTGATCGGAACAACTTTTGGAATGCACTTGTGGATAGTTGCCTCCATATAATGGATTTGATTGATTGGGAGTGGAGTCATCCCGATAACGTCCATGATCTGACTGTAGCCTATGGAGTTGATGTAGCATGGAAGTACTTTCTACGTGTGAGTTCTGGTTACGAGATTCCTTTTTTTTCGTCTAAATTTTCGACAGCCTTTTTTTTGTTGATATATAACGCAACCACATTTTCTTTACTCTGATGTTAACGTTATTTCCACTTAAGATTCCTTTTATTCTTTACTACAAGAATAAAATGGTACAATTCTGACAACAATGAGTTAAAGTGCAGAATCTGAATTCTGCCGTCTCTGAAACTGGCAAGAAAATCCTTCCGGAACACTTGGTACTTGCAGCAGATTGTCTCACAGCTACAGGGGAATTTGTTCCGTTGAATACAAAAGGTCTGGCGCAGCAAAGAAAGTGTGCTGGTGTTATTTCACCATTTATGCAAGCCTGCTTTTCGGTAATGTGATTCACATTTGACCTTTGTTCCGCTAAAAGAAAAGAATTTTGATAAAATTTATGTGTTGCCAATTTTCTTACTCTTTTTCCCCTTATTTTTTTCTAATATTTTACTTCTCATATTTTAACCAGGAAAAAAATATTTTACTTCTCATATTACAAGTGATAACAGTTAATATGTCAAGGAGATGTATCTCCAAGTTTTGAAACTTTTCTGCGTGTTGAACCCAATGCAGCATCCCGGGGACTCTTTTGTTAGGGCTGCCAAGACAGAATTAAGTGATGATCTTCAAGGAAGTCTGGAAGCATTGGCGTGGGGAAAAACCCCTTCCACAGGGACTGGTTTTTCATTCGACATTATCTATTCTGGAAAGGTATAAAACCAATTTTCTTTTATTGAACTTCACATTTGTTGATTTTTTGTTTTTTTTTGTTGTGGAATTACCAAGCTGGTTTATCAATTATATTGCCATGATATGAACTTAGATGGATTAGCGTAATTTTGTTGTAGGAGAGAAAAAAATTAATAATATGATTCTTGTCTTTGATGGAGTTGTTCTGGTCATGCTTTTAAATGGAAAATAAGTTCTAACAAATCTGGCAACTATACAATCCTAAAGCAACTTGGGAGAATACACATGTTTATTGTTCAATATAATCATCTCCTTCGTATTCCTTTTTTGCATGCATATTTATAAAAGAACTTCAGTCTTCTCACCAAAAAGAAGATATGATTTTCACAGAGAATATAGTGCATATTATGTGATACTTTATTAATGTCTCCTTTTATTTGTGACTCTATATATAAATAGAACGATCTCAAAATCCATTATTGACATTGTTGAGTTATCCCACATCGGTGGGATTTGAGGTCCTTGGTCTCCTTATATGGTCTTGGGCAATCCTCATCTCATAAGCTAGATTTTGGGGTTGAGTTAGGTCCAAGGTCCATTTATCATGGTATCAGAGTCAAGTTCATCCCAATTATTGTTACCGATATTGGGTGAGTTAGGTCCAAGGTCCATTTATCAGACATTACATGTGAAGTATTACCACATAAGTTGAAAATATTGACCTTAGGGAAGCTGTTTTTTTGTAGAAAACCATAGTTTTTTGTAGGTTTTCTACCTTTTTGGTATACTACTTGTATATGGGAGCTTTTGTTTTGGCCCAAACATTTAATGAAATTTATTTTCTATAAAAAAGGAAGCTGGATCTTATTTACCTGATTTGCTTTTGGAAAGAGCATTGCTTGTATTTTTGAGTGACCTAGCTAACACTTTTGCTTTGGCAATTTTTTGAGGATCTTATCCTTTCCTCCATTTGCGGTTTTAATCATCTTTGGATATTTTTCTTTCACCCCTTGGTTCCATGCTAATGATATTCTAGTCGATAACTTTCCAAAGAAAAAACTGTATTATAAGGTAATTCTTATCTTTAATTATCAGATGCAGTTAGCTTCCCCTTTTGCCTTTACGAAATGGTACCTTGTTAATGATAAAGGCACACCGATGAAATAATCATAAAAGAGGAGAGTCATGAAATGTGACACATTACAGCAGCTTATTGTACATAATTATGACATTTTATTAGTATCTAATAGTGTATCTTACCTAATAAGTGAAGTAAACTCGCTCCATTGTTTGGCGTATTACCTATAACTCTATAAGCCTGTAAGTGTTTCTTGTTGTTCGAGAGAGTGATCTGTAGCTTCTCGGTCTGGGCTGGTAAAGCTACTTTACTAAGCTATTTCATTGTGTTCTAAGTCCAAAGCATCTATCAAGCATTTGATTGATCGAATCTGTAATTTTCCTTATTTTAACTTACTGAACATGCTAGAACACTTTGAACATTGAAATTTTATTTTATATAGTTTATATTTCTTCAAACATTATGTGGCATATCCTGGTCTGTTGCATATAGTTTTCATTTCTTAATGTGAATAGATTCGTTCCAGTCTTGTCATTTGTCATCTTAATTTTATGGATCTGATAGACCAGGATAAGTGATATGATAAACCAATTTAAGACTTTGACTAAAATATCCGGACCTTTTTCATCAGGGATATGAGCCTGCTGCACCAACAGATGTGTATGCTCTGCTGGGCAACCATGTCACATCAAATAAGCAACAGGTGAAGGTCACTCTTGACGAAGACAATGAAACGGCTGACAAGGCTCTTGCACGACGTCTTTGTAAACTTGATGATCTCAATACAAAGAGATGTAAAAGCCAGTGGTCAATTGCAAATTTGAGAAGTTTCCTTTCATTCAACGGCATAAAGAAGCTCTCTCAGGCATTGAAGCAAATGCTGTCCAAGTATGTCAATGCTTCTCTTATGCAATTCCTTCTTCGTTGATAAAGTTTAGTTTTTTAGACTGTTATATTTGGAATTTGCGTACTTTTTCTCGTATTTCTTTGAAATTAAGTTTCAAAGTCATCGGAATGTTAATGACTCTGATTAGTCTATGCTAATATGAGTTAGTCTGGTGGGAGAATATATCCGAGCATCTAGTTACTTTAGAATCTGATAGTAGATACTAACCAATCACCAACGAAAAAAGTAGTTGAAGAAGAGGAAAAACAGAATCTATCTATTAGCTGCAGCTTATTGACTATGAATTGTATTTCTCCTCTTCTTTATCTATGTATATTTTATCTTTACCTCTTATAATAAGGTTATTCTTTGTTAACAAAGCCGAGCTGTTCCTCAGGACAACACGTGAACCCAGCACAACAGAACCTCAAATCTTCACCTTTGCGTAACCTTTGGGTTTCTAACAACCTGCTTTAAGCTCATTAGTATGTCAAAATGAGCCCGTCTAACTTGTTAAACACAATGACTTCGATAGTAATTTGGTATTTTCAGTTGCCTTTCTTCTACACCAAAAGAAATTTAGCTAAAAGATTTTGTCTTTGCTTTCCTGGTTCAATATTTATCTCTTGAGTATTAATAGGTGGTTTTTTTACTACATAGAGATTGTGTTGTTATCTAGAGATTGTTTTTTTTTGTGCTTATCAAGTTAGCATATATTTTGATATGTAAATTTGCTAAATTGTTGGTCAGATAAGTGAAGTTAGATGCATTGATATACATAATATTCTTATCTATTGAATTGATTTGCTTCATATTATTTTTAGATGACGTGTAGTAAAAGATATGATCTTACAATACATGGGTTAATGAGCAAGTTTGAAATGATCCAACCATTAGTATTAGATGGATTGACACGTGACAACTCAGATATTTGATCAGTAGCTTCACGGTTAAGATTTTCGACGCATGACCCATAAACGATGAGACCCGACCCATTGTCGCCCCTAGCTCTTCATTACTCTCTTTTTATCTTTCTCCGTGGCTCATTAGAAACATATGTTAATTAATAGGTGCTTTAAAGCCAAATACGAATCTTAGTTTGAATTAGGAGCATATTTTTTTCCGTAGAAGCAAAATGGGCACTCAGGTTACTGATTTCTCATTGACTATCTAAGAAGCCTTCTACTTCTTTCTCTTCTTTCCAAGCACTCTCCTCTAGCTTTCAGGATATTCTCCAGCTGGCTTAATCCACCTACTACTTTAAGCTAGCTAAACTGCCATTTATAATCAAGTGTTTTCTTCACCTAAGGCTTCTCGCCCCTTCCCCCAATAGAAAAAGGAAAAGAAAAGATAAAAGTAAGGAAACTAAGCAAAGGAAGAGAGAGGAAGAAAAGGTGAGCAAAATTCCCTTCCTTTTTTTGGTTTTTAAAGAAAGATTGGAGAGAGAATGTGCTATGGAGTAATCTTTTTTATATTGGATTGCGCGTGAATTCTTCATGCATGACACAATATTCTCCATTTTATCTTTTTTCCTGCTGGGATCAGACAAGGGAAAGAAAGTTATTTTCTCTCGTTTTCTTCTACCCTCTTTCGATTTTCCTTTGTTTTCTCTTTCTTTCCTCAGTTTTCACAAGTAGAGGCTTATTATTTAATCCTTTGACCATGTTTCAGACATTGTGGCTTCAAAACCTCTCCTTTGGGCCTGTATGTCTACATATATCCCTAAGCCATTGTCATTTTAATTCACAATGGTCCGTGCAAGTTCTAAGTATGGAACTCTATTTTTCTGAGTCTTTCACGTTGAAGTATCATTATTTTAAATTTGCAACTAACTTATTCCTGATAAACTGACTACCTAAGCAAAACAGAAAGCATTATACTTGCCAAGACTTTTCGGTGATGTCGGGCTATATGCGCCAGGCTGAAATCATTCTCTGAATTCATATTTTACGTGAACAACGTCACGCATGCATGATCTTCAATTTCTCAGGAGTATGCTTAAATCTGAGGAAACCCATTATTTTGCTACAATTTGTTTGTTCACGTATTTTCTTTCCTTTTCATGTTGCTTACCCACCTTGTTGCATTTCTTTTGTGGGAAGTGACTTCTCTATTTCAAATTCCTCACTAACTTATACTTGTTAAAATGGTGCAGATATGCTATTGATCGCGAGTTAAGTGAAGCAGACAAGTCCATAGTAATGATGGCATTGCATTTTCATCCCAGAAGGAGTGAGAAGATCGGAAAAGGAGCAATGGAAATAAAGGTGATATAGATGAAAGTTATTCATGATTATTGAGAAATGCTAACTAAAGTCATGAAACGAATGCCGATGAAATTGCTAGAATTACTTGGATTTTCTTTTAAGTTAAATCCACCTTTTGATGGTGAGGTGTTTGATATTGACCCCTACTTTTTATTGTTAATAACCAAAACGATAGCTTGTGAAGAAGGGGGACATAGTATCCCACCTCCTCAATATCGTATGAAAGGGATGAACATGCTCATCCCTTTACTGATGTTAAGCCTTAGATAGTTTGTGCCTTATATGAGTGATGTACAATGTTACCAATGTACTATGGGTAAGACTCCTCCCATTTACGTTTGACCTCGCGATACTACTATGTACTAAAATTACATAAGCAAAAATAGAGAAATACATGTGGTATATCTACTGATGGTCTTTCCCTTTTATCACAGATTGGTTACCACAAAGAATATGAAGATTCCCGCTGCTTTATGTTGGTACGTACAGATGGAACAGTTGAAGACTTCTCGTATCGTAAGTGTCTACAACATGCTCTGGAACTGATCGCTCCTCAAAAGGCAAAAACCTATAAATGGTTGAATGGAGCATCATGTGGTCCCACTGCCTCAACCTTGCAAAATGAGGTCAAGTAAAATGGTAAAGGCCTTTGATAAACTAAAATAAAGACGTGTTATATTCACTTGTTTACGGATATGTATGTATAAGGTGGTGTATGTAAGTATCTGGTACAAGTACATTTTTGCCACTTTTGAACAGGCCACACCCGTCAGACAAGGTAAGTAGGCAACTGAAGTATTCGTGTAACATAGTTGTACTAAATACGCGAACCAATTTAGGATACCCCGTTATCTTATGCTTCTTTTTGCTGCTCCCACTAAGGTTTGTTTGCCTTTCATAAGGTCTAAGGCAAAGGGAAATTAGTGGGAGTAGCAACGAAAAGCTCTGAGGGGCTATGCATTTCCTTTGTTGTATCAGTAGAATGTTTCATCAATGAAAACATTTTAATCTTCTAGTATCCCCTATTTTCTTAGCCTAAATTTCTCTTTAGCTTCCATTTGTTGTGTTCTTAAAAGTCTGATTTAGGATCATACACCTAATTCAATGCTCCTTGAGCCGAGGGTCTATCTGAAACAACCTCTTTACCTTCACAAGATCGGGGTAAGGTTTGCGTATACACTACACATTATCATCCATAGATCTCACTTGTGGGATTACACTGGGTGGTTGTGTTATTGTTACTCCTAATTCAATGCTGATATGATCTGTCATAGGGATTTGAGAGGTTCTCTATGTTGTCTAAGTGCGGAGAATTCCAATAGTTTTCTAACATAATTAGGTTATTGTCCCTACCATATGAACCAAAGTAATTTTTAGTCTAATCGAGCTAAAATAGTTATAGGGAATTTGAATTTTGCTTTTTTGCAGGAAATGTCAGCATTGTTAACCGTTGGGAGCTCATGCGAAATCCATTCCCATTAATGTGGACTTAAGTTTTCGTATATAGTAAAAAAGGTAATCCGATGCACAAAGCATTTTGCGTTTACGCAGGATCGGGAGGGATCACACCTCAAGGGGTGTGGTGTAGATGACCTATCTTAATTTTTTATTTTTTTACCAACTATATGACCTATGTTCTCTTTTCTTGGTAAATTTTGCTCGAATCAATATACGAATATATATGAATATGGTAGGCTTCATATTAGAAAGTTACTATGAAATATGATTGATGCTCTAACAATCATATTTGTACCCAAAGGGTGCTTTTTTGGGTGTTATTTGTACATCATTGCCTCTTTAAAATTTATAATCTAAGAAAATGATTTTTTTAGATATCTTATGTGTAAATTACAGATCTCTTGCGTGTAAAATAAATTTTTCATGTGTAAAAAAGGGTAAGATTATAAAATTAAACACAAATTTGTTGACCCGAATCTTAACTAGTTGAAGCTCTATAAACGCAAAAAAATTATTATAACATAGTTTGTTGTTATAATATAGTAGTAGTTTATTATTTTGGTTGACAGCAACAAGAGAGTATCTTAGGCTCCATTCAACCATGCAGTCACGTATAAAACACCATCACGTGGGAGACTTCACTGACACTCTAAATTGAAGAACATGAATAATTGTCGGTAACAAGACAAGGGTCAACTATGTTATAATCATTTTTTGGGTTTATAGAACTTCAACTAATTAAGATTCCTAGTGACGAGGCCCTAATGTTATAATACTAGTACTAGTTAAAGACATAAAGTGGGGCTCTCCATGTTACAAAATCGAAAGTTTGAAACTCCAATCCTAACATTAGTTAGCGCTACACATGTACTCCTAAAGTGGAAAAAAACAAAAAGAAGAAAGGGATATTCTTTTTTAAAATTAATTAAGTTGTTCGTCGTAGTTTGATTTTTTTATTGGACAATATGATGTCTGAAAATTATAGACCTGACTACAGTTAAACCTTTCTATGACAACATCCTTATATAACAAGTAACAACACTTTTTTATAAAAGTCAAATTTTTCCGGAATCAAATCTCATGTTTTCTTATAATATATGTTTTCTATAACAACAATTCGGTATAATATTCAAAAATAATTGGAACAAATAAGATTGTTATAGAGAGGTTTTGACTGTAATTTGGATTTATGTTGTAGGATGCCCTCTACGACGAACTTTGGTGCCTCATATCACATTTTCAAGAAATTTGATTAACAATGGATGAACCTTTATCATTCAGAGGTGTTTGGCTAAACTTATAAGCTGGTCAAACTGACTTATAAATTAAGTGCTTATAAGCCAAAAATAAGCCAAAAGTCATTAGTTGGTCTCCCCCAACTTATCAAATTTCAGCTTATAAGCACTTTAGGTTTGACCAAAATATTTACTATTCTATCCATAAAATACTTCTTTTTAAAGCAAAACCCTTCGTATACCCAATTCTTCAGCTGCTTACAATTAATTTCAGTACTTTTAGCCAGACACGTAACTGTTTATTTTTTAAACCAGCTTCAGCACTAAAAGTGCTTTTCAACACCTAATGCTTATCAGATACTCTAAATCAGCTAAGCCAAACGGGCTCTCAATCACTTTCTTTGGTGGTTAATAAGTTGGTTATTGACAATCATATTCTCATAATATTCGAAGTAAAAGTGGACGTGACTTATGAAGGAAGAGATTTAAGATTTTTTAAGTCTGCGTATTAAAAGGGAAAATAATGATCTTTCACGTAATCACGTACTTGGGACGAATAAAATTGAATAATTTGATCATTTTCTTTTTCACGTAATTGTAATTGCTTTTATTCCAATGCCACGAAAGTTTGACAAGGACAATACTGCTTTCTAATTCATAAATAAATGTCATTTGAATCAAGTTGTGAATATGGTACGAGAGCAACTACTTCCTACTAAATATAATGGTTTTCTCTGCTTGCTTGTTTTTCGTTTCTAGTTTTAATAGGGCAATAAATTTAACGATTTAACTTATTATAAAACTAATAATGACATTAAAAAAAAACCTTCTCCCTAAGTTTGGTTATATAAAGTGATACACAATGACAGAACCAGGATTTTCACCAAGGGGTTCACAAAATAAAATAAAAAATTAAATATGCGGAGAAGCCAAGGGGATTTAACATCTCATATATATGCACTAAATCATTATTTTTAACCTTATATACACAGTGTAATTTTTCGGTCAATGGAGTTCGAATCTCCCTTCGGTCACTCTAGCTTTGCATACATGTAGTAAGAATTAGGGGTGTTCACACCGAACCGGGAAACCGCACCAAACCGAAAAACCAAACCAAACCAATTAAAAAACCTGACTAGGTTTGGTTTGACTTGGTTTGGTATTGAGTAAAAAAACTCGAACCAAACCGACATATAAATATATAAATTTTATTTATATTTGTAAGACTTTATAGTGAATTTTCTTTAGAAAATATAGAAATATTTGAGATCCTCTCATGTATTAACATTGAAAGCGTAAATTAACGAAAAATTATTGTTAGACGACTAAGAAAATAACTATCATGTGTTATTAAAAAAATTCTCTCATTAGAATATTTTAATAGATCATATGTTTGTCAATTTGTTTTTCATATTTACTAAACATATATTCACTTATGAAAGTTTTATCTATAATTTTAATAAAGTAGGATTTAAATAATATTCGTGTAACAAAAAAAATCCGAAAATCCGAAAAACCCGATAAAACCGAACCAATCCAAACCGATATAGTTGGTTTGGTTTAGTTTTGATAAAAAACGAACCAACCCGGTCCATGTACACCCCTAGTAAGAATTAATTTTGTCTGCCTTAGCTGAGGGTCTATCGGAAGGAGCTTCTATTGCGTTTTTATTAAAGGGGTGTGAATGGGAAGTGGAAGAGGCACCTTTTGGATTGCACCTCTCCATATCACCCTTCCTTTGTCTATAAATTTAGAGACTTGGCCTCATTTTTCAAACATGAAAAATCTGAAAATGTCTCCCCTCTTTTCTACATTGTTATATTATTTTTCAAATAAATATAAGTGTCAAGTGTGATTTGCTTCGTTTGTTGAGTTCGCTAAAATTCTATGATTTGTAATACCGCTATCACAGAATAGTTATTCCATTCTATCCTGGGAGGAATTAATCCATATACCTTGGGCAACATTGAGGGGATTAAATTTCTTAAGGACACATTGTGAATTCAGTGGGCTCGAAATTATTTTACGATTTGTTTATTGAACTAACGTCTGTTCGTTTCTCTGATTTTCTGATTTTGAACACATTAATACCAACAACTTCTCTATTTGTACAAGGTAGAGATAAGGTATACATATACAGTTACACACTATCCTTACCATGTTGGACTCCTGTATTATATGGCATCTGGGCCCAAAAGGAAAGACTTATAGTGCTTATAGTGTAGCTTTTATTTATTTTACTTGTTTTTGTGTAATTGGGCTCCTTGTAATTACTGAACTAGCCCACTTTATATTACCTGTATTTGACTTGTATTTGGGCCATATATAAAAGGAAAGGAGCACCCGAATCAGCCGATCGGGATTATTCTCTCTGAATCAAATCTAGAAAGTTTCCTCTTTTCTCTTTTCTCTCTCATGAACCCTAACACTAATTCCTCAAATCTAGATCGATTTTCTCATGTTCTCATGGTATCAGAGCGGGATTCCGGTCGATCTCATCTCCCTCTATCTTCTGATGTTACCCTCATTGAATTTCGTTGAGGATTTCAATCTCATGGAGGTATTGATTTCGTCTTCTACATACTGGTTTTGACGGATTTCTGGTTGACTTTAACTTCTCTCGGCGTTTTCTGAGTTATATTTGCTGCTTGAGTGACTGTGGAAGATTATCTACAAGTTCCCGTAGTTGTCGTCAAACTCAAAAATTCTAGGGTTTCACGACTTCATCTTATTTCATCATTGTTGTTTCGTTGCTGAGAAGTGTTGTTTTGAAGGTCGTACTTCCGGTCGCGAAGAAATCGGTAACTCTATGTATCTGTTTCCTTCTGCATAATACTCATAAGATAATTGTGTTGAATGTTATAGTAACAATGGGATCTACTGATGATAATGGGTCTGGCACACGTGAGTTTATTCCCAAGCCCTCCAATCCTTTATTTGTTCAGTCATCAGATATTCCTGGTGTTTCTCTTGTACCAGTTCCCTTTTCTGGGACAAACTTTGGGGGTTGGAAAAGAAGTATTATTTTTCCCTGTCTGCTAGGAACAAAATTGCGTTTGTCGACGGTAGTTTACCTAAACCTCCAGATAATTCAATAGAGTCTAATCAATGGGATAGGTGTAATAACATGGTGATTTCATGGTTAACAAGTTCTTTATCCCCTAACATTGCGGATAATGTCCAGTACTCTGAAACAGCTAAAGAAATATGGAGACAGTTAAATAAAAGATATGGAACAGTAAGTGGAACTAAAACCTTTTAAATTAAGAAAGAACTTGCCTCTACCTGTCAAGGCTCCCTAAATATTGCATCATATTTTAACAAG